TTAAGATTTCACATTGAACAGATTATCTATAATTAAAATTCAACAAATTATCTATAATTAAACACATTCAACAAATTCTCTATAATTAAAATTCAACACATTCAACATTCACATTCAACAAATTATCTATAGTTAAAATTTCACAAATATAAACCCTAACCCTAACCCCACATTCATGAACCCTAACCCTAATTTATTCACATTTTATTCACAAATATAAACCCTAACCCTAACCCCACATTCATGAACCCTAACCCTAATTTATTCACATTTTATTCACAAATATAAACCCTAACCCTAACCCCACATTCATGAACCCTAACCCTAATTTATTCACATTTTATTCACAAATATAAACCCTAACCCTAACCCCACATTCATGAACCCTAACCCTAATTTATTCACATTTTCACAAATACAAATATATTCACAAATATGTAAAGTAGATGATAGAAGCCATACCAACGAGAGAGAAACGGTACTGAAGCAGAGGGAGCTCGATAGAGAGAGAGAGCAGGGAGCACAGTGACAGAGAGAGGAGTAAGAGTGAGAGAGAGACAGCAGAGGGAGAGGGAGCGAGAGAGAGGAGTAAGCGTGAATGCAAAGTACGGGGCTGGGGGATTATATACAAGTTTTAAAATCGTGGTTGTGAACCACGAGTTCACTTAATGGGAAAAAATTTGGGCAAAAATCGTGGTTACAAAAAGCGAGTTCAGAACAAAAATTTTTTCAACAAAAGCGGGGTTGCGAACAGCGAATTCAGAACATAATTTTTTTCGATGAACTCGTGGTTTGTAACAACGAGTTCAAAGGAAAGAAAAGTTAATTAAAATCGCGTTTTATAACCACGATTTATTAATCGAAAGCGTTTTTTGTAACCACGAATTTAAGATTTCCCAACTTTCACCCGGGACAGGCGGAAAAATGTTGAAATCGCGATTCTGAACCGCGAGTTAGCTTATTCTGGGAATTTTTTGAAAACTAGGCTTAGTTTGAGAATTGATTTACTATTTTAGCTTATTTAGGGAAATGACCCGAATTTTGCTAGCCAAAATATAAATAACTTTAATTAAATAGTTCAAAAAAAATTTTTCAAAAAAAACAAAAGAAAAAAACCAAACAAACTTCCCGTAGGACACACTGTACCAGTGTTTCCCACGAATGAAAATGTGGGTCTATCAATTTACCAACCAAAAAGAGTACCAAACAAAAAGAGTGTCAAGTAACAGACAGTTTCGTGTTAGATTATCCAACTTGGTCGCATACCTGGTTGGGAAAATTCTGAAATGGGCAACCAATAATAGCATAGCAGCCATTTGAATAATTTCTCCAAAAAGCCCTTCTTACTCCGTTGAATTCCCATTTTCTACCACTCCTCTCTATCTATACATTTACATACATGAATTGAATTGAGGTAGCTCTCTCTCTCTCTCTCTAGGGCTAAATGGTGGAACCGGTGGCTGTGGAGGGCGATCGGGAGTGGTCCGAGGAGGAACTTCTATTGCCGGATCTCAACAACGCCGCCGACCGCGACTGGCGCTTGAACTTCGACAGCTTTCAGTTATCAGAGCTCAAAGAAAAGCCGCCTCCTCGTGGCCTCCATCACTCATGTCTCGGCGTTTTACGTAATTTTTTCAACCCATTTCCATTCTGGTTTAAAAAACTAACAAGTTTCATTTGTTCTGCTTTGCTTTTTTGTTTTTTCGTCAATTGTTCATTTCATTTGAATTGGAATTGTTTATTCACAGTGAGGTCATTGTTTCTATCTCTAATTTGTCATTCCCTTTTAGTTTTTTTTATTCCTCCTACAGTAGCTTAATCTCCTATACATATATATACATATTATAAAATTCAGCATCCTTGAGTTGAAATCAATTAATCCAAATCGAGCTTTATTACTCGTATTTAAAATTAAAAAATAAAATAAAGTCTGTGTATCATTTTTGGTTTATTTATTTATTTTATATTTTTCTGTTATATATCTATATCTATATGTATGAACAAGGGTTGTAGATGGAAACCCTGCAGCAGCAGTCTTGCAAATGATTCACTCGGTTTGGTTTTGTTTTCAAAATCTACTTTTTTTAAAAAAAAATAAAAAAAACACTCATTGTTTTTATATGATTTTTTTCTCTTTTTGGGCCTAGATATATTTTTGGTATTATTCACCCCCCCCCCCCCCCCCCCCCCAAAAAAAAATCTTTTTGATATTTATTTTAATCAAACTAGTTCAAAATTTTTCCAACCAAAAATAAATAAATAAAAATAATAATAATAAAAAAATCAGAGAACTGATTTTAAAAATAAAACCAAAAAAACTAGATTGAGGGTAATTGGACTCTTCCGGTTGAAACCTTTTGCGTGCTTTTGTCAGGATTCAAAAGTCTGGAATTGATATTGATATGAAGACATTCGTCCTATTAGGTTGAATTTTTTGCAAGTTTTTCAACTGCTCTGCAATTTTGGTTGTTTGGGAATTGCTAAATAAGTATACTCTTTAACTTTTTACGAAAAGATGTGTATAAAAGTAGAGAGGAGATGTGACTCTAAAAAAATAAAAAAAAAAGTGGATTTTTTTGTTGGAAGTCATAAATTTTAATTGTCCAGTCCTAGGAAATTTAAGAACTTAAGTTAATCGAGCCAAACAATGATATGAGCCTTAGTTAAGCTGATTTTTTTCCTCATCTAAACCAAATGGTTGGAATTATATGCTTATCTATGATTGCAATTTTTTTTTTCCATTTTCCTTTTGCTCTTCTGCATTCAAATGGAGCACAGTTATAGTTTATTGTATAACATATAAACTTTTATTGTTGAAGAAATGGAAGCATTTATTTGACCTGCGTAAGCTTGATACCAATGCATTGGATACAGGTAAAAAAAAGTTTTTGATTTGTTGGTTGCGTAAGGATTGGTAACATATTTTGGGGATCTATGCTTCTTGATTTAACACCTAAAAAATCACGAATATTAAGTACATCGCGTTGAGTCCACTAAATGTTCATCACATCCCGCTTAAACCACCAAGTGTTGATCAAATCGATTAATCATGATTTCTCATGTCACATGTGTATGGTTGTAGACATAAATTTTGAAACATGAAGGTAGCGTTTGGTTGTGTTTTGTAATTATGATTTGAGAGTATGAGTTGTATTTTGAGTTTGTGGGGTTTGGAATTATGATTTGAGTGTAGAAAATTTGTTTGGTAAAGAGTTTTGAAAAGAGTTTTGATTTGAGTGGGGGAATTGTTGATGTGACATTTGATATTTGATACAAAAATTTACAACTCATAACTAAACATACAACTCAAAATTATTTTAAAGCACATTAAAAATTTTAAAAATTTCAGAAAATGTTTTTTTCGATTATATAAAAATTAACATATCAATTGCAAAAAAAAAAAAAAAAAAAATCACTATTCCGGTCAACCGGCCGGACGTCCCGTTAGACCAAATTTTGAAAAAAAAAAATTGAAAAACGCGTCTGTTAAAACAGAAAACCGCGCCTTAGACAGGGTGCTTTCTGCAGAGTTTTGAAAATATCATTTGAGAACTCTAACCAAACATCATACTTGAATTAAGGTGTGGAATCGTGATTTGAAATCACAACCAACAGAGCCGAAGTGTTTTAACACATTTCAAAGTTCATGTTACAAATGTCTATTGTTTAGTTTTTGGACTAAGCAGTGTTGATTATTTGAATAGCAGGTTCCTATTTTCGATCTGTATTCCAGATCGTTAATTATACATTTTAATTAAATTAAATCTTCGATTAATGAAGAACAAAAAAATTAACAAAAGACAATTTAAGGAAAAGAAATATTTTATTGAAATTGTAGGGATTTAAAACCCTTAGATACTGTGAGAATATTAGGTTAGGAAGTGTTTTATTTTATGAGAATATTAGGTTAGGTAGTGTTTCATTTTCTGAGAGATTGTATAGGTGTATATATATGGCAGTGTTTCCTTTAGGTTAGGTTTATATATATGGTAGTGTTTTAGGTGTATATATATGGTAGTGTTTCCTTTGGTCATGGGGTTAGGTTTACTATATAATTAGATGTATTCTTTGTATTATTACACAATTGAATATACAGAAAAATTTCAGAAATCTTACATGGTATCAAAGCTGCGTTTGAAACCCTAGCAGCCATTGTCCAAGCTTCTCTGCTTCGTTGAGTTCTTTGGTTCAACTTTCTAAATATGTGCGACCAATCTAGTTCAAGATTGGGTTTGGTTCGTCTGATCCTCTGTTTGAGTCATCATCTGATTTGCGTTGGTTCTCCAGTCTGGTTCGTAACTCCTTTACGGTCGGCATCTCTGGTTTGTCTGACATCTCTAGACCTTGCGATTTTTGGCTTTAGTTCGTCGCCATCGCGGTTCGTTTTTGCTAGTTGAAAGGCCATTTGTCTTGACCCCTCTTTGCTTCGTGACCTTCAATCGGAACTCCTCTCACTACTGATCTTCTCTCTCCTTTGACTTTGTCAACTTAGGGTTCGTCGATTGGTTCTCACAGGTGATCCTTGTTCGTTGATCCTCTGAGCAGCGAAATTCTTTCTTTCTTCTATTCTGGTATCGCGACCCATCGCCACCTCTCTGGTTCAATCTGGTTTCAGAATTGCGGCACCAAGTTGCTCTCTCTCTCTCTTGTTCGACTGGTTTGTCGGGTTATCTGGGTTGTTGGGTCATTTGATCTTGATTTGGTTACTTTGGTCTATTTTGGGTTTATTACACTTGAACCCCTCAGATTTGATTATTACACTTGAACCCCTGGTTTGGCTATTTTGTTTGATTGCGCTTGAACCCCTCAGCTTTTTGGTTACTATGGTGCCTCTGGCTTCTGATGAGTGTGTCTTTTGCCATCAGAGGGGTTATTAGAAGTATCATTGTCTCAAGAAAGGATGTCTGTTTGCCTCGTCTTCTCAACAGTTTCCGATCCAGTTCTGCGCCCCTCCTCTGAATATTTTTTTAGCCTCCCACCGATTCTACTGCATCTGCTCCAGCTCCTGATCCTGATCTTGACTTGGCTTCCTTTAGTGCTCAGATTAGTCAGCTTCAGTATAGCATATACTGTCTACCTCCCAACCATCCCCGTCTGCCTTCATTGTTTCCTCTCTTCATTCATGTTTGCTTGGGTCTTCTTCAGGTATCTATTCGTCTATTTGGATTTTTGACTCTGGTGCCTCTCATCATGACTCCCCATTTCTTCTTACTTTAAAATTGTACTCCTCCTTCCCTTCCTATTACTATTAATGCTGCTAATGGGTCTGGTATGTCTGTTATATCTGTTAGGTCTATCTTACCGTCTGCTATGTCTGTTGTCTCTATTTCATCTATCCTTTATGTTCCTCAGTTATCTGTCAGTTTATTATCTATTAGTTAGCTTGATACCTCTGGTTTTGATGTTATCTTTTCTTTTTTTATCTATTCTGTGCAGGATAGGATGTCCAAGCAGCAGATTGGGACTGGCCGTAGAATTGGAGACCTTTATGTGGTGGAGAGCTTGCATCTACCTATGATAACCTTTCCGACTGCCTTTTCCTCTTTTCAGTTAGATTCTCTGTCCAGTCCTTTCTACTTGTGGCATTCTAGATTAGGGCATTCTAGATTAGGGCATTTGTCTGCTGACCGCTTACGATCTTTAGTTTAATCAGGTGTATTAGGTAAAGTTTCTCCTAGTGAACAATGTTAGGGGTGTAAACTTGCCAAAATAACAACCTTCCCTTTCTGTAAAAATACTTCTATATCTGATACACCGTTTTCTTTAGTTCATACTAATGTTTGGGGCCCTTATCTTGTTCTCACCAAAAGGGGTTCTGCATGCTATGTGTCATTTGTTGATGACTGCACCCGTTATACTTGGGTTTATCTTATGACTTATAAGTCTGATTTCTATCAGATATACCGTACCTTTCAGTCAATGATTACTACTCAGTTTGGGTCTACAATTAAAGTGTTCTGGTCTGACTTGGGTGGAGAATATTTTAAAAATAAGTTTTGTGAGTATTTGGCCAATTTGGGTGCCATTCACCGAACTTTCTGTACAGATACACCTGCTCAAAATGGTCGAGTCGAGCGTAAACACCATCATTTCCTTGAGACAATTAGGTCTCTTCTTCTCTCTGTCTCAGTTTCGGCTCTGTTTTGGGGGGAGACAGTTCTTACTGCTGCGTTTCTTCTCAACCGCATGCCTACATCCCTTCTTTCTGGTCGGTCTCTTTATGAGGCTTTATTTTTCCAAATTCCTAATTATTCCCTCCTTCGTATATTTGGATATGCCTGTTTTGTCTTTCTTCCCTGCAAAGATTGGACCAAACTTAGTGTTCGGGTCTGTCTTCTGTGTCTTTTTGGGTTATAGCTTTACTCAGAAAGGCTATCGGTGTTACGACTTTGTGTTCCCGTCGTCTTTATGTCTCCCGTCATGTTTCTTTTCTCGAACGTCTGCCTTACTTTCAGCTTCCTCCCATCACTGCTCCAGTTTCCAAAGAGGATTTGGTTCATATTGATCCATTTCCTTCTGAGGTCTCTCCTGATGAGTACATCTCTACTGTTTCCCCTGAACTTGTTCCCTCTTCTCCTCCTACCACCCCTTCTACTGAGTCTTTCTCCACTGAACCCCATGAATTTGCTCTCTTTTCTCCTCCTTCTCCCCAGCCTGCTCATTCTCTTCTTCCTCTTCCTCCTCCTCCTCCTCCTCCTCCTCCTCTTTCGTTGTTAGTTTATTGTTGCCAAGCTCTCCCTCCACCAGTTGTTTCTGACCCTATTGCTAATCCTCTTGCTTCTGACAACTCTAATCCTGCTACACACCGATATCCTACTCAAGCACATTATCCTCCAAACAAGTTGGGTTGGTCTAATATATGTTTTTCTACTTCCTATCGTACTTTTTTATCTGCTATTCATTCTTTTTCAGAACCTCAGTCTTACAATGAGGCCTGTTAGGATCCCAATTGGGATCGAGTTATAGAGGATGAGTTGTTTGCATTGCAGAAGACTAATACTTGGGCGTTGGTCTCATTGCCTGCTAGTAAGAATCTGGTTGGTTGTAACTAGGTCTATAAAGTCAAGACTCATTCTGATGGTTCTCTTAAGCGATACAAAGCTCACCTAGTTGCCAAGGGTTTCTTGCAGGAGTATAGTATTGATGATGAGGAGACCTTTGCCCCTGTTGCCTAGATGATTACTGTCCGTACCTTGATTTCTGTTGCTGTTATTTGACATTGGCCTCTCTATCAGATGGACGTTAAGAATGTTTTTCTTAATGGTCATCTCATTGACGAGGTCTACATGTGTCCACTCCCTAGCCTTCTCCATTCCTCTGGGTAGGTTTGTCGCCTTGGGCGTGCTTTGTATGGTTTAAAGCAATCTCTTCGTACTTGATATGATCGTTTTCAGACTGTTGTTACTGAGTTTGGATTTCATCCTTCTGCTTCTAACTCTGCTTTGTTTCTAAGACATACCTCGGCTGGTTTGTTGCTTTCTTACTATATGTGGATGATATGATCATCACTGGCTCTGACTCTTCTGTTATCTCTGAAGTCAAGCAACATCTCTTCTGTACCTTCGAGATGAAGGATCTAGGTCCATTTTGGTGTTTTCTTGGTATTGAGGTTGCTTCTTCTTCAAAGGGCTATTTTCTGTCTCAGGCTAAGTATGCTAATGAGGTCATTCATCGTGCTGGTTTTACTAATACTAAGGTTTTTGATATACCTACTGAGCTTAATGCGAAGTTCAACTTTACTAATGGTGTCCCTCTGGATGATCCCACTTTATGTTGCGAGCTTGTGGGTTACTTAATCTATCTGACGGTTACTCGTCCTGATCTTGCCTATGTTGTTCATGTGGTTAGTCAGTTTGTTTCTGCTCCTCGCTCCGCACATTGGGCTGTCTTGGTTCGAATTCTTCGCTATCTCTGAGGTACTATATTTTAGTGTATACTATTGTTCTCTACTTCCTCTCTGGATTTGGTGGCTCATGCTGATTTTGATTGGGCTGGTGATGTTATTGATCGCAAGTCTACGTCTAGTTTATGTATGTTTCTTGGCAATTCCTTGATCTCTTGGAAAAGCAAAAAGCAAATGGTTTTTGCTTGCTCTACTGCCGAAGCTGAGTACCGTGCTATGGCTCATGTTACTGTTGAGATTGTTTGGCTTTGTTGTCTCTTATTTGATTTGGGTGTCCCTCAGTCTTCTCCGACCTCCCTCTACTATGGCAACTGTAGTGCTATTCAGATTACCCATAACACCGTCTTCCATGAGTGGATCAAGTACATTGAGATTGATTGTCACTTTGTCCGTCACCATCTGCAATCCGGCTCTATCACGCTTCTTTTCGTCACTTTGGCTTTGCAACTTGCTGACTTTTTTACCAAGACTCATACCACTGCTCAGTTTCAGTTTCTTCTTGGCAAACTCTCAATGTTTTCTGCTACAATACCTTGAGTTTGAGCGAGGGTGTGAGAATATTAGGTTAGAGAGTGTTTCCTTTTCTGAGAATATTAGGTTAGGCAGTGCTTCCGTTTTTGGGAGATTGTATAGGTATATATAGATTGCAGTGTTTCTTTTACATTAGGTTTATATATATGGTAGTGTTTTAGGTGTATATATATGGTTGTATTTCCTTTAGTCTTGGGATTAGGTTTACTATATAATCTTTGTATTATTACACAATTGAGTATACAGAAAACTTTCAGAAATCTTACAGATACAAGATACAATTGTTGGGTTTTGAACCCTTTACCTATCGCTTGCCATCATAGCAGATGTTTGCAGTATAGTGTATGCTCTTGAGTTCTTTCGGTTTCTCTTCTTTTTTCTTGTAAAGACTTCTTTAACTCCTAATTTCTTTCTCTCTCTCTCTAATCTTTGATTTATCTTTTGATTTTTTGATCCCCCTCCTTGTGATGGTCCTCATCTACGTGATAAGAGCATACTGTCATCAATTTTAGTTTCAAATTGAATGGTAGCTCTGCTTGAATTTTGACGTAATCATATATGGTTAATCGTATATCTAACCATTATTGATCCTTTAGGTTGATTCGTTGGATTTCATCCTTTGTGGTATCCTTACTATAGGCCCTACGTGTCATCCTTAAGTATCTTGAATAACATTATTGAGATACGACGTTGTTTTATTTATGTACTTTCATATAGATCCTTTTAGGAAGTGATTACCTAAAACATGCTTATCGTAGGCTCTATACGTGACATAAATTTGGTTGAAATTTATGTGCCAACAATGGTATCCTTTAGTTGATTTTAATATCGATTTTTAATACATCAATCATAATACTTTGACACTGCATGGGTCCCATTTCATTTGTTTTGCTCAATGAATCCAGGTCCAGAAGATAATGTGGCTGGGTATTATCAGCAGCAGGTGGAAATGCTGGAAGGCTTTAATGAAATGGATGCTTTAGCACAGCGTGGGTTTCTCATAGGAATGTCAAAGGTTTGTACTGCTGTCATTCTTGGTTCTCTATGAAACAGTACCAATGCTACTTTTTACTGTATTAAGAAAAATAATAATAAAAAAAAGCCCATGGAATGAATAGGAAATTGTTTATGTTGCAGGAAGATAAGGAAAAGTTGGCTAGAAGTGAAACAACAGCCATTAGATTATCAAATGTTGCAAACATGATTCTTTTTGCTGCTAAAGTTTATGCATCTGTCAGGAGTGGTTCATTAGCCATTATTGCGTCCACGTTGGACTCACTTCTTGATCTTCTGTCGGGTTTTATCCTGTGGTTTACAGCATTTTCCATGCAGACACCAAATCCATATCAATATCCAATTGGAAAGAAACGCATGCAGCCATTGGTTAGTCACCCTGCTACTGTTTACAATGTTTTTGTATGAATACATGTTCTTGTAGTGTTTGTGTAGTTACAACTTACAAGCAACTTAATATTCTACCTGAAACAGATTTGTACTTGCACGTGTTTCCCATTGTATGCTTGGCATGGCAGGCAGCTAATTACCTTTTCTTAATGATGAATTTATGTGTTGCGGTTTATTGGGTCTTTGATGAGCCTGACCAAAATCTGTCCTTTCCTTTGGCATTTATTTCTTATCTGTGTGATTAATTGTTTCACATTCCAGACAAGGGTCATCCAAGCATGATACCTCGTTTAGGTATTCAATCCACATTATGTTTAACCTGTGAATCTCATCTTTGATGAACGGAGATATCTGTGTTTTGGACCTGCACCTTTTCCCCCATTTCCTCTTCAGGGACTTGTGTGAAGCTGTGGACTGAGTCTGAGACTACTGCTATGCTTGACAACTGCTATTCTTGACACAAGTTCATCTTCTTAACCCAATTCTGGTGCATTCTAAATGCATCCTGGTTATGGTGGAGATTGAGCATGGTACTAGTTGAAGGAGATCAAAAATTTCTTCTGTATAATGCTCTATATCACCTACTTTTTGTCTCTACGTTGATATTGGTATTTCTTCTACTTTTTTTTTTCCCCCCTTTCTCTTTGTGGTGTTTGGCTTGAACTCATACTTCTTTTGCCTTTTGAATAAATTTCCTGAGATCTGCACATCTTGTCCTATTAGCTTCTCTGCCTCTGCCATTTGGCATTGTCATGGATCATGGCATGGCTTAATTTGTTACTCAAGTTCAGAGTGTAATTTGGCTTACATGTTTGTGATCCTTGTAATTCCCTACGTGGGTCCATGGGCTAAGGATGACTATTTTTATAGTCGGACCAAATATAATTCTTCTACCCTCAAAATTTAGCGAATATTCACTAAATTTCTACCTGTTATTGCTGTAACTCTGACATTACTGGCCTAACTTTTAGTCAGTTCAATACAATCACTATAAAACTTCTACCTATGATATGCTTATGGTTTATTAAGTCTTGTAGTTGATAATTTTAGTTGTATATTTGTTCTCTCCAACTTCTGGTAGTTTTCTTTTGAATTCTTCTGTATAGAATCTTAGTTCCAATTAAATTGTGAAATCTGGAAGATTATACATGATTCATTGGAATATCATTGTGCTACAATTATGGAACAGTACTGTTGTTGGCAGTGCTTACTGCTGCTTATCAATGTGTGGAATGGAATTCTATACTGCCATTGTGATACTCAAATTATACATTGGAAAATGATTGCAGGGAATCCTTGTTTTTGCTTCTGTTATGGCAACTCTGGGATTGCAGATCATCTTGGAATCTGTGCGCACACTAATATCTGTAGTAAGTAGCAATTCATTTTAATCTTAGCATGTTGAGTTTCCTTTTCCATTCACGAAGTTTGATTTTGACTATTTGGATGCTAGGAGACGGGATCCACTGCTGATTCTTGAAAATCGTAACCGTCCTCATGTTCTTTTCTATTCTCTTATTCTTATGTCATGATCCCAACCAATTAAATATGCGTATTCTTAATTAATCTCGATTAAGGCCACTAAACACACTCGACCCTAACTCTCGATGAATTCTCACACAAACCATAGAAATGTAGCACACATTAGTTAGAGACATTTTTAAGCATTGATTAAGAAATTAGAGACATGTATAAGCATATTTTTATATACAAAAGAGTCTACCTAATTCATGTCTATAGGTTGTAGTTCATTTCATATGAAAGAAACATATAAGGAACTCAAAACAATAAGCATAGCATACTAAGTCATGTTTCTCAAAATGAATAGTGTGGCATGTTCTTAAACATTCTCATGATAGGAATTGAAGCATAACTCTAAGGGCATGTTTGATTGGAAGGATTAAAGTATGGGATTAGGATTATTAATCCGTGGGCCCAACCATCCTATGTTTGTTTTGACATTTGGTTTAGGACTATTAATCCAATGGATAATTAATCCAACAAATTTGTAGGATAATTTGTAATGGGGTAGGGGTGGGATAGTTAATACCACACTAATTTGATAGGATTATTAATACCTCACTATTAGTATTGTGAATCAAACATGGCCTAAATGTTCAAACAAAAGTGTAGTAGATATTATGCACGTCATACCTATGGTGATACGTAAGTAAAATCAGCCATCATGACCTTTTCCAGGATAGTGAGTTCAACTTGACCGATGAGCAAGAGCGATTGGTTGTTGGGATTATGCTGTCCGTGACACTCGTAAAACTCTTTCTGGTTGTGTATTGCCGCTCTTTTACCAATGAGATTGTCAAAGCTTACGCACAGGATCACTTTTTTGATGTTATCACCAACATCATCGGCCTTATTGCTGCACTACTGGCCAAGTATAATAGTGATTGGATGGACCCTGTTGGAGCTATCATTGTAAGTGAATTATTTCCTTTCTCTTTATTTTGTTTTTTTTTTCCTTTTTGCCTGTGGTTTGGAACAGTACTTGAATCTGTTGTGAAAGGAATTGATATTTCTCATGGTTTCTCTATGTCCATGAGCCTGGTGTGTTTTCTGAGTCCTCTCTGGTCAAACTCATAGGGCCAAATGAGTATATTAAAGAGTGCGCAACATGGATTAGGTGTTCTAGTGTTTTGACTGACATTGCATGCACTTGTATTACACTGCAGTAGATTCGAACTTCCTTTACTGGTGTCTTTGGCCTAGTATTAAGTTGGGAGTGACTGTCAGGGTTCGAATCCCATAGCTACCCAAAAAAAAAAAAAAGAGAAAGTTATTTGTTGATTTTACAGACAAAGTGGAAAAAGAGGAATGAAAAAGAGAGAAGAGAGAGAAGAGACAATACAGCTAATGAAAATATTATTAACTCTAACTTAGGGTTCTTCCCTTAGACACATGTATTTATACTAATATGACAAATTGCGCACGTACCAAAACTACCCCTAGATTCAAATAACCACAATACTTAACATTCTCCCTCAAATTGGTGTAAATATATCTCTCATGTCTAACTTGCAACATATGGGGTGAAAACCTTACTTCTAAGACTTTTAGTAAATACATTAGCCAATTGATCGTCAGACTTCACAAAAGGCAAGCATGTCAAACCCTTATTCAATTTTTCCTTAATAAAATATCTATCAATCTCAATATGCTTAGCCCTATCATGTTGAAAAGTATTGTTAGTAATACTGATGGTAGCTTTGTTGTCACAATACAGAGTCACAGGACCACCACAAATGATTCCTATATCACCCAATAAGGACTGAAGCCACATAAGTTCACATGTTCCATATGCCATAGTTTTGTATTCTGCCTCTGCATTAAACCTGGACACCACTCCCTGCTTCTTACTACGGGAAGGGAATAAATTTCCCCCCACAAAGGCACAGTAACCGAAGCTAGACCTTCTGTCATCTATAGAACCTGCCTAGTCTGCATCTGTAAATGCCTCCAACCTCAAGTGGCCGTGATTATAAAGCAAAATCCCTTTGCCCGGGGTTGATTTAATGTACCTCAAAATGCGATAGACAACATCCAAATGTGGTGCGCAAGGATCATGCATAGACTGACTTCCTACCCCAACTGCATAGGAAATATCTGGCCAAGTGTATGAGAGATATATAAGCCTTCCCACAAGTCTCTAGTACCTTTCCTTCTCCACAAGATTACCAACACCACTGCAAAGATGATGATTAACCTCAATAGGGGAATTAGCTGACCTACAGGCTAACATGTCAGTTTCCTTAAGAAGATCAAGAATGTACTTCCTTTGAGAAATAAATATGTCTTTGTCAGATTTGGCAACTTCAATCCCAAGGAAGTACCTTAACGGGCTAAGGTCTTTGATCTAAAATTCCTTGGCTAACTGCATCTTAAGATATGTCACTTCCTCCTCACAATTGACAATAAGTACAGTTACTTTATTTGCATTGCGTTTGAAAAACATGGTGTGATCTACATTGCTTTGCTTATAACTAAATCTCAACATAGTTTTCAGAAATCTATCAAACCAAGCTCGAGGTGACTATTTCAAACCATGTAAAGCTTTCTTCAACCTGCAAACTTTTCCAACTGTAGACTTAGATGAGAATCTTGATGGCGCATCTATATATACTTCTTCCTCCAAATCACCATGGGGAAATGCATTCTTCACATCAAGTTATTGTAAAGGCCATCCTAAGTTAGCAACACATGAAAGAAGGGCTCAAATGGAATTCTTCTTCTACAGGAGCAAAGTTCTTTTGATAATCAATTCCATATGTTTGAGTAAATCCCTTAGCCACTAGTCTTGCTTTGTACCTTTCAATTGTCCCATGTGCTTTCTACTTAACGGTGAACACCCATTTACACCCTGTTGGTTTTTTTCCATTAGGTAGAGAAACCAACTCCCGAGTATTATTCTTGCTCAGGGCCCACAATTCTTCTACCATAGCCACTTTCCACTTAGGATCATGGATAGCTTCTTTCCAACCCTATAGGATGCACACAGAAGACAGACGAAACAAAAGCACGATATAGAGGAGATAATGAATCATACGACACAAATTTATAAATGGGTTGTTGAGTACACGCCGTAACTCCCTTTCTAAGAGCAATAGGAGGACTCAATCAACAATTGGGCTATCATCTACTGGAGGAATAATAGACTGAGGTGCATTTCTTGTAGACTTAGTCGAAACAGGATTTGGAACCGGCAAAAGAGACAATGATTGACCTGGTAGCACAAGAGGAGTTTGCTCTTTCTGACGCTGTGAATAAATCTTAAGATTAACCCTGTCCAAATGACCAACTTTGTTAGGCTTCCCGTCAATAAAACTCTTAGGCTCCCCCTCACCACAAGTAACAGACCGCTAACTAGGAAGGAAAAAAGATAGCTCATGCTGATATGACTGTTATCTTTAAGAGAATACCAGATTAGGGAATGATTAGAATATCATCCCCTATATATATTAATGAAGATTAATAATTACAAGGGAGCCCTAAGGCATAAAATAATTACAAATTTAACCCAAATAATAATATATTATTCTAACACTCCCCCTCAAGCTGGTGCGAAGATATCTCTCATGCCTAGCTTGCCTAATGTGTCATGAAATGGCTTACTCCTAACTCCCTTGGTGAGGATGTCAGCAAGCTGTTCACCAGACCGCACAAAGGGAGTACAGGGAGTACATATTGTGCCACTAGTGAGTTTCTCCTAAATGAAGTGGCGATCAATTTCAATATGCTTTGTCCTATCATGTTGAACTGGATTGTGAGCGATGTTGATAGCAGCCTTATTATCACAGTATAACCGCATGGAGTCCGTTTGATCAATACCTAGATCACTCAACAAAACTTAATCCATAAGAGCTCACACACCCCTTGTGTCATAGTTCTAAACTCAGCTTCTGCACTTGACCTAACAACCATATTCTGTTTTTTACTCCTCCAAGTAACCAGGTTGCTTCCAACAAAGGTGTAATATCCTGAAGTCGATCTCCTATCAGTCACTGATCCAACCCAGTTAGCATCTGTATAGGCTTCCACACGAAGATGATCATACTTCGAAAAATAAAGACCCTTACCAGGAGCAGACTTCAAGTACCTCAAAATTCTCATGACAGCCTCGAAGTGAATCTGATGAGGAGCATGCATAAACTGGCTAACCACACTGACAGCAACAGCAATATCAGGACGGGAGTGAGATAGGTAAATAAGCTTACCCACTAATCGTTGATAGCTTCCCTTGTCAACAACTACTTCTCCTTCATCATCCCCCAGTTTATGATTGGGTTCCAGTGGAGTGTCACAAGCCTTGCAGCCAAGAATTCCAGTTTCTTTCAACAAATCAAGCACATACTTCCTTTGTGAGATAAATATCCCATCCTTGGATCGAGCAACTTCAATTCCCATAAAATACTTCAAGCTCCCCAAGTCTTTGATTTCAAACTCACTGGCTAAATATTTCTTTAACAGAAGAATTTCCTCACTATCATCGCTCGTAAAAACTATGTCATCTACATAAACAAGGAGTGTTGTAGTCTTACCACATGAGGAATGTTTCACAAACAAGATGTGATCTGTATGACTCTGTTTGAAGCCATATTTAAGCATAGCCTGAGTGAATCTCTCAAACTAAGCCCTTGGAGACTGTTTGAGACCATATAATGACTTCTGAAACCTGCATACTTTGCTTTTTGTCTGATGATCCTCAAAACCAGGAGGAATATCCATATATACCTCTTCTTCGAGGTCACCATGGAGAAAGACATTCTTTACATTAAACTGATGAAGTGGCAATCTAGAGTAATTGCTAGAGAGAGAAGTACTCTGACTTAATTCATCTTAGCCACAGGTGCAAAGGTCTCCTGATAATCAACGCCATATGTCTGAGTGAACCATTTTTCCACAAGTCTAGCCTTGTAACGCTCAATAGAACCATCTGCTTTGTGTTTCACAGTATACACCCATTTGCATCCCACAGGTCGTTTGCCTTTAGGTAACTCAATCAATTCCCAAGTGTCATTCTTGCTAAGTGTTTTCATTTCCTCAATCATGGCAAGTTTCCACTCAGAGGTAGCAAGGGCATCCTCAAAATGGTTAGAAATGCTAACAGAGGAAATATTTGACACAAACACTCTACATGAGAACGACAAATGAGAATAGGACACAAAATTTGAGAAAGGATGTTGAGTACAAGATCTTACACCTTTTCTCTTGGCAATAGGAACATCAAGATCAATGGATTCAAGAGATTTAAAGTTTCCTAGACTCTTATCAGAAGTAGGAGATGGTAGTGGAGTAACAAAAGTGGTCTCTTGTATCCAATTAACTTTCTGTCTGTCTTTGTCCCTAACATAAACTTGCCCTTTCCTATCCTTGGTGCCATTGGGTTCTGCAGTCCCAGTAGGAGGTAGTGGTGCAAGAACAATTGGTTCCACCATAGGAATCATAGGAATTACTAGTTCCACCATAGGAATTACAGGAATCACTTCACACCAAGGCTCCTCCTGAAGGGAGGACTGTGACATCAGAGAGGACAAGAAATAGGACTGGGACTCAAAGAATGTGACATCCATGGACATAAACCACTTACGAGAAGGAGAGTACCCAAGGAAAACACATTTGAGGGAGCGAGGGTCCAACTTACCATGAGTAAGAGAGTGATTATGGACAAAACAGACACAACCAAATATTTTGGGAGGAATAGAAAATAAGGATTGGGAACCTAGGAGGACTTGAAAAGGAGCTTGTTTATTCAAGACCTGGGTAGGAAGACGATTAATAAGATGGGTAGCGGTGAGAACAACGTCACTCCAGTAGGACCGAGGCACACGCATAGAAAAACACATGCACCGAGCCATGTCAAGAAGATGGCGATTCTTGCGTTCCGCCACCCCATTTTGTTGAGGGATATTGGTGTAAAAGGT